AAAGGGTCCTAAATAGCCGTATTTGTCAGCATTGTGACGTCAAAACGAGCACGGTGACCCCCACTTTTTATTACTTTTTAATCATCTTCTTGACTTGTTACATCAGTGTACCAAGTTTAAGCTAAAATCTATGTTAGGTTCTTTTACTATGGAATCACCTTAAAATATCATATTTATTAACTTCCATTAAGCAAGGACCTCATTCCTATGCTGCCAACCTACCTGCGACCTATTTCAATATAAGAGCGAGAGCATACACTGCTAGTAACAAGAAACATTGCAGGTCTTAACCACCCAGCATGCATGCCATGTTTAACTTGAGTCAACTTTGCAGGCATCCCATTGGTTATAGGCGTTTTTTGTTGCTGATAACTTTTTTTCGCATATCAGAACAGTATTGCTGGCAGTACTGCCTACAGTGTATTATGTCCCAGGTAGCTTGGTGGCATATGAGAACCAGGTTTATGCAGATATTTTCTTCTGGTCTAAAGCTTCTCAGTAATATTATTCAAAAGCTTTGGCTTAACTAGGAAAAATTTGATGCTGATTACTGCCGGGGTAGGGGTGGGGGTGTTATGATAAGAAAACAAAAGGTGCTGATCAAGCTTGGTCAACAACAGTTCTCTTGAATTTGTAATGACAGAAACTACCCATCATTATTTACAAAGGTACAGATGTGGTGGTGTAAACACTTGCCATAAAAATACAGTGGTCTACTTTAAACAACATCAGGCTGGCTGGGAAAGCTCTCGTACATGGAACGACACCTGCGAACATTGGTTTAGTTGTATTAGTGACAACACAAATATCACAGGCTTGTATATAGTTACTGAGGTTTCCGACTACGCCTTTGTTCAATTTCTGATGCTTTTGCTTTCATTTCTTCAGCCTGTAGAGCATACCGTTCTCTTATGTATCTGAATGCATGTGCATTGGCATAAGGTAGGCCTGTTATAGGATCGTGATATCTGGCTGGTAATCCTGTGACAGGACAATAAGTCTTGTGAGGAACTTTAGGTTTTTTGGTTGGGAAATATGCAGCAGGAAAATTCT